AGCCAGTGCACCATCAGCAGAGGCTTTGGCTGCATTTGGCACTGTGAGCCTCTATGCAAGGAGTAACCTAGCCACTCTCAGCATGGATGGTTCATACGACGAGCTAACTGCAGCCTTAAAACTTTTAGTTGAGCAAGGGGGCATCCCTTCGAAGATCAATTCAAAGCTGAAGGAACTTATCGAGTCTTTGGAGCGTGAAATCCCATAGTATGTGGCTGCCGAGAAAGAATTTTCTCAAGGTGGTGAAGAGTATGCAGCCCAACATGAAGAGATCAAAGCTAGTATGGAACTGGCCATGCCGAAATGTGAAGGAAGAACAGACATTGTGGCCAATTACGATGCCATGGTTACAGAACTTGAGGCTGAACTGGCTCAAGTTAAGGCCAAACGGGCAGAGGCAATGTGCTGTGGATGAAATGCAGCCTCTTAAACGAAGCTTCGAAGATAGTTTACCGAAATCTGAAAGATTAATTGTCAAGCGGGCTAAGTTGACAGCACAAAAGGGTGCCTCTTTTGGAACATGGACGGCTGTTAAAGATGTGCTGAAAAATTACTTCTAAGCTAGAAACTTCCTTTCCAAAATCAACTTTTATGAGTATGCAAGGCAACGCTTAGAATCCTAACAAGTCGTGTATTCAGTTGGCGAATGAATAATAAACGGATTAAATTAGTGTCAAACGCAATAACCCTATTTTGGCAAACTTTAACTAGTCTCATAATTTCCAAAAGATTGCTTGCCAGTTTCAAGGCATGGAGTTTAAACATGTGCTTTCGTGAAGCCAACTTCATTGTTGATGCTCTTGCTAAGATTGGTTAGAGATCCTCAAATTCTCATGTTTGGATGTTCGATCTTACATTCGATGGTCAGTCAGCTTGATTGTGGAATAGTACAGTAGTTGCCCAAGGGCTTCTTTTTCTAATTTATCTTTTCTTATTCCAAAAGAAGAAGAAAAAAACTTGTGTCGTATATAAAGAATTTTGTATGTATAAACATGGAAGGACCCAGCAATTTTAGCAGGAGCGATTTTAATAAATAGAATAAAGTTTACACGGAGTGATGTTAGAATGACCATATTTTTTCTCCTAATGGTCAAATTATCTAGCAGGTATTTTTCTAATTTTTCTGTTGGTCTGATGGTTATTCCGATACGTGAGATGCCAAAGGCTGGAGTTCTAGCTATGATTGACATGCTTTGTTTGAATTCAGATAAGGTTGAAGGAGGACAAAAGCAGATATGGGAAAACCGGACCTTTATACTATTGTTGAGGTAAAGACTTCTTCTCCATCTTTATTTTCGCTATCTTTTTTCCTTCCGAAAATGCTAGTATATAAGTATCGGTGTACATAAAAGAACTCGTTTTACTTCCGAAAATGCCAGCAGCGATATAGAAACCAAAATAATGCCCACTAAGTACTGGTTGGCCCTTCTTCTCCATAGAAAGATCGAAGTGGGACAACCGTCTGCTGCGGATGAACTATTGAAGTACACTTCAACCAGTGCACCATCAGCTGAGGCTTTGGCTGCATTCGGCACTGCAAGACTCCATGCAAGGAGCAACCTAGACACACTTTGCGTGGATGGTTCCTATGACGAGTTAACTGCAGCCTTGAAACCTTTGGTTGAACAAGGTGGCATCCCTTTGAAGATCACTTCAAGGCTCAAGGAACTTATCGAGTCTTTGGAGCGAGAAATCCCAAAGTATGTGGCTGCCGAGAAAGAATTTGCCCAAGGCGGCGAAGAGTTTGCAGCCCAACACGAACAGATCAAAGCTCGAATGGAACTGGCCATGCGGAACTGTGCTGGAAGAAAGTTGGGGTCTGTCGTAAAATCAATTGGTAATACGGGGAGTAACTCAATCTCTTATAAATCCATGCAAGGTCTCTCCTTCCATCAACGTATGAATCATTCTCAATAGTTACAATTTCATGGTTGCAAAACTCTAAGGCTTTACTGGCTCCTTGATTTACGAATTTGTGGATAAAAAAATGTATTGCATGGAAGCATTTAGCTATAGTTGCGTAGAAATGCGAACAGTATGCATCTCTTTTACACATAGTAAGTATAAATACTTATATAAATTATTTTCACTGTAACTTTTGGATGCAGAGAGTTAATCATTATAATTCACACTCAGTCACACACAATAAGCCTTTTAGCTATATTAAGCTAATTTAGTATTCAACTTGCTATAAACGAAATCAAATCTAAAACCTCCAATTAACAGCAATAATATGTGAGATTTATTATACACTCCGGTAAAAAAAAAAAATATTATTTTGTTTGAGAGAAATCTTTTTTATTTTTTAAGGTGGGAGGTCGGACTCGGGTAACCCACTAAACCACCGGGTAGGATAGGATTAAATTCGGATATGGGCCAAGCAGGAGGAAGGTATATTCATGCGGGATGCCGGGTGTGGGGTCGCCGGTGCCGGAAACGTGACCCGATTGGTCATTCCTGGCTGGAGTTTGTGTTTCAGTAGGATAGGGATAGGGTTTTGCTCGAATAAAGGTCTGATTTTAGCAATTTCCTCACAGCAAAGAGGAGGACGAACAATGCTTCGTGCCGCACTCGGATGTGGTCGAAGGCCTCACTGTAAGGAAGCTAACATTTTCGTCATTTATTGAACTTTTTTTTAACTCGTTAGACAACCGTTTCGCTTTTAGTTTTTTATTTTCATATTTGTGATATAAATAGAGAACTGAAAAACTAAAATAAAATAGTCATCAAACGACCGCTGCAGTATGAACTTGTCTTGGTTTTGAAAATTCATGGTATTCATTGTTTGTCGGTAAGGTAGCAGCTGAAGTGGAGGATCTTCCAACCACGAAATTCACTTGCAAAATTGACAACTTTACTTGTCTGCAGACCAGCAAGCTCTACTCTGATGACATCATTTTTGGTGGTTATAAATGGTATTTTCCATCCATCAACAAGTCAAAAATCCATTTTACTTTTGTGTATATTGTGTCGTTTACTCCGTAATGAGAGATCGACACATGATTGTATAAAACCGATAATAAGACAAATTTTCGTTCTCGTGAAGTTGGCTGATTGTAATTGAATTTGTTGGGTTATTTGATCAGGCAGATACTAATAATATATCCAAACGGAGACTACAATGGGGACTACTTGGCCGTGTATTTAAAATGTAGAGAACCGGATTTTGTGACATTGCCATATGGGTGGAGTAGATATGTGCACTACACGTTGGCTGTAGTCAATCGTATCGATAGCAAGTACTCAAAGAAAAGAGGTATGTTTCTTTTTATCGGCCTTATTTTCTTTTGGCATTTGAAACTCCATTTTTATCTCACATTCTTTAAATTTTGTGAAGTTCTTAAATTTTATCTTTTAGTAAAAAAGTCTGAAATAACTGTAATTTTGCATATGTGGTGACACGTGTGAGACCCACCGCTACAATGATAAGCAACCGCGTGGATTATCAAAAATATATTTAGTAAAAGGACTTAACAAATATTTGAATCTACTCAAACTACATAAGAGGACTTAACTAATATTCTATGGCATTGATTTTCAGGGGCAAAGTGGAACAAATTAAGTTCTAAGGGAGAAAGTGAGACAAAATTGATGTTCATGGGGCATTGCAGAAAATAAACATTTGAGTCATTTACGCAAACAACCCCTAAGGTTTGTTGTGATTTTGTTTGGAAGCATTCACTTCCATTTTTTACCTTTTAAAAATAGGAGGAGATAAAGAAAATAAAAAATATTGCACCCTTTTCTCTATAGACGCCATTGTATTTCTCGAAGGTTGAAAAAAGTACAACAAAAATTAAGGATATAACCAACAAAATTAAAATGGCAAAGTGGATTCAAAAAATGTTATCCTAGTTATCTTTCCTTTATTTTAATGAAGAGATTTTTCAATATATCAGAAACACGGTACGCCATATGTTATTATACAAGTAGAAGAAAGGTTTTTTTTTCAAGTGTTGTGATCCGGGCACTCAGAAAAATCTCTCATTTTAATGGTCCATGTTTTTTTTTTTTTTTTCTGGTTTGCATATGGGAAAACCATTAAGCAACAGGAACAAGTTAAGGAAAAGTTATTGATATAAATTGTAAAGAGCTTCACTGATGCAGCAAAACTATTATTTGAAGTCTGTTTCGTCAGAAGCAACTTGATTTTCGTGTGCAGTTCTTACATATTCTTAATTCTTTGTATGACGCAGTAGACGCACAACACCAGTTCAATGCAATAGAGAATTGCAAGGGACGTACATCATTCATGTCTCTTAGTGAGCTTTATGACCCAAATGCGGGTTATTTGGTGAATGATACAGTCGTTATTGAAGCTGAGGTTGTCTTACTTCTAATCAATACTATTAAATCATTTTTGAGTTTTGCATTCAAGTAGTATCCACCTGAAAACCTGATCTGACATTGTTTGTTTCATTTCAGATACGGTTGAAGGAAGAACAAGAGGAGGAGGGCAAAAGGGGAGACGAGGCAAAAATGCGGCTTTATACTATTGTTAAGGTAAAAGCTTCTGTCTATCCACGCTCTTACCACTGCTTGTTCAGACGTATTAGTGCAGGAAGCTGGTGTACGTAAAAAATAATGGCAGAAGAAATTTGTTTGTATGGTTAGGTTGCTCGAGATGAGGACCTAGCAAAACAAATTGGAAGGGATTTCTATTTTGACCTAGTAGACCATGAAAAGGTTTATAGTTTTCGTATTCAGCAAAAGAGTTTGGTATACCAGTGCAATTTCAGCGTTTCTGGATTTGGCACAAGAGATTACACTGCACATATCGCCCCCATCGTCCATTGACTCTTCAGGAGGAATCGCAATCAGTATGTACTTCATACTTCATACTTTTTCAAAAATCTCAATGTTACAGAAGACTTTTACTTGGAGGCTTTGCTCCTACCCTATCTGCTTTATCTCTGGATTTGTTAATTGTCTTTCTCTTAATTCATGGTTTTTATTTCGTCACCTGGTTTTAGTGGTAACCCGCTATTTCCTCTTTTTGGTGCTACCTTTTTCTTTTCAAGGGATGGGGTTAGATACTGTTTGTTGCCTCTGAGACTGAGGTACTCAAGTTTATCATCGAATTATGAATGATTGTGACCGCTGATTTATTTTGTGAGAATGGATTTGTTAATTGTGTTTTGAGGTTGACATTGGAGCCCATCAGTGTCGTCTGCAAAAAGAATGATGGCTACTTGTGTTTTGTAGGTTGAACAACTCGCAGCAGTATCAAGTGAAAGTCATAAAAATTCCAAGCTAAATTTATTTTTGGAAGTAGATTTTGGGCCGGTAATCCAATCTTACTCTATCTTCTTGTTAGACATGGTTTTTGGCTCATTGTAGTTGCAATTGCTTTATGAAAATAGATCTTTCTCTTGATTTTTGTGCTTCTTTGAATTTCTCCAGGATCTACTCGCAGTTCCTCTGCCTGACAAGACCAACGAAGATATCCTTCTTTTCTTTAAGCTTTATGAACCAAAGAAACAAGGACTACGGTAGCTCTGCCTCTTTCTGCTCAGTTATCATATTTTCTCCATGTCATTTTCGTTCGCTGATTTAGTCTTTTGTTGCAACTTACAAGGGAAGGGGAGAGGGGGGATTCGAACTCCATTCTTAGGTGTAGGGTTAAATGCTCTCGATCAGTAGAGCTATAATTCTCCACCTGATTTAAGCTTCTTCTGTGTTACCAGTTTTGTTGTTAGGCTTTACATGAGGAGGTCTAGTGAGCCAACAGAAATTTTGGTAAGGTTAAATCAACTGGCTGGGTTTTCCCCTGAGGAAGAAATTGAACTTTATCAGGTTCGTTTCACATTAATTTTTTAGCATCAGCTGTGCCATAACATACATTACATAAACATTGTCCGCTTTATGTATGCATGCATATAACTATTTGATGCACGTTCTGTTGTAGCATTCTTAAGTAGAAAAATTTACATGTAATGATACATTCAGGAAATACAGTTTTATCCAAGTGTCAGTTGTGTCAATGTTGACAAGAGGACCTCGTTGCAATTAAGTCAGGTAATTGTTGCTATATAAATTTAAATTATATGCTTGCATATTGCAAACAAGTGTCGATAACAGGAATGAACCGTTTTGATGCTTTGCTTATTGCTAGTAAACTATATATTTGATGCTTTGTTTTCCAGATTAAAGATGGGGACATCCTATGCTTTCAGAAATCCACTCCACTTGAATGCGAAGAAGAACGTAAATATTTTGATGTCCCCTCGTTTATGGAGTATATAAACAGTCGCAAGGTACAGGCTATGGAAGCTTTTGAATGGTTTTTGGCCCTCCTTTTACTTGGTTTTACTGTCGACGGTCATTATTCTATTACTTTAAGAGTAAGCGTAGGTTCTTTTTTTAAAGAAAAACCTAACTATATTAAACAATTTGACACTCTATGGATTGTTCATTTCCGTTCTTTGGAGAAACCGAAGGAGGAGGATTTATTTTAGAGTTGTAAGTAGTTCTGCCTGGAACCACCGTCTCTCATAGTTGTAGTTGGAGTGTCCATTGTTGTGTTCTTCAGTGCTAAAACTTTTTTTCATGTTTTCTAGGTCAAAGCTAGACACATATGATGATGTGGTGAAGAAGGTGGTTTGCCAAATTGGTTTAGAAGATCCTACCATAATCAGACTCACTGCTCATTGCTGGTATTCTCAACAACCTAAGCCCCAACCAATCAATTATCGGGGAGTAAAGTATTTACAAGAAATGCTCATCCCTCAAGATCGAGTAGGTGCCGTTATATTGAGTTTCCTCTGTCATCTGTCAATTGTATAAGCGTCATGAATCATTGGTGCTCATTATGATTGTCGTTCCCTATTCAGGGATCTGACGTACTGTATTATGAAGTCTTGGACATCCCGCTGCCAGAAATGCAAGTCCTAAAAAGTCTGAAAGTTTCTTTTCTTAATGCTACAAAAGATGAGGTCTGAGAGAAATATTTGGTCAGATTCCCTGCTTATGGACCGTTATTACGCTATTTTGTCTATCATAATCATTTGTAATTTGTTCACAGTTGGAGATTCACAGTATTAGATTGCCCAAATGGAGTATTACGCTATTGTCCATCATAATCTTTTGTAATTTGTTCATAGTTGGAGATTCACAGTATTAGATTGCCCATACTGTTGGGGATGTGATAAAAAAACTTAAAAGGAAGGTTAGATGTCTCTTTATTTCGGCATTGTTACTTTTGACTATCCATCAATATTCATCTAAATATTTCTGCCAACCATATGATACAATCAGTCCCATTCATGCTTTGAATTTTTTTATTTCTTTTTTATGACACAATTCTTATGGAACAGCGTGATCGCTTTGACATGCTCTAAGAGTGAAGACCTACTAGCACGATATATCTGTAACAATGTGGCTGTGATAATCATATGTCAACAATATACGATAGATCCTCAACGAAAAATCGTCCACACACCCCTCAGCGGCTCACCCCCTCCCCATTTTTTTCTGTTATACTTGCTATAACTGACTTTGTCAATGTGTGATGTATCTGAAATAGGTACGGTTATTGCATCCAAATGCACAGCTCAGACCGCTTGAGGTTTTCAAACACAGGATCTACAAGGTAATTTGCTTGTTCTTGTAGTCAGATGTATCAGCATGTAAGCTATTTTTTCCGTTCATATTTTCCCCAGAAGTGGACGCTTTTCCTGTTAGTGTTGATTATGCATGATTCCAGCGATTGTATCAGAAACTTCGTTGTCTGATTGATGTGTTTTAATCTGGAGCGTTCATAATTTCGTGTTCACTTTTCAGACCATACCATCAATGAAAAAATTGAGAATATAAATAACCAGTTCCTTTTCTCACTTGTACAGTTTTCTTCTTTTATTCAGTTGAACACTTTATAGACTGTAAGAGTCTAGTCTTGTGGGCAAGAATTGTAATATTTACTTGGTTTTCCAATTTGGATTTGCATTTCTTTAGGCTTCGTTTGGTACGTAGGATTGGATAGATCGTAGAAGATGGATTACTCATGAAGAAAACTCATCCATTCCAATCCAATCCTACATACCAAACGTGCTTTTGTGTCGGACTGAATTGGCTTGATGCCAGTGTCAGTTGTTTCTATTTTTGTGTGTATCAGATTTCAGAAGAAGAGAAAAACTTGGTGTTTGTGATCGCTTGACTCAAGTTTACCACTTTGCAAAGGGAGAGAGAAACTCGGGTCTTTAGGATCGCTTGATTTGTCCAAAAAACTTCACGAAAGAGACTGCGCAGAAGAATCAGATGGTATTCGAATTCATTTTTCTATGAATGAAATTTGGATAATTTTAATGAGAGTTTTTCTTTTCCGAATCAGAAATTGGCTTACTATCTCAATTAAATATGAAGAATGGTTGCACGAGAATACTTGTTATTCTTATTAATGATCTTCTTCACTGCTCTTTATACATTTCAAATAGCAAGTAAAGAATTTCGGGGAACCTTTCTTCCTCGTCATCCACGAAGGTGAAACTTTAACTGAAGTTAAGGACGCGTACAAAGGAAATTGCACATCCCCGATGAGGAATTTTTGAAGGTGCTTCACTCAAACCTTATATATATATATATTGCAGGTTTGATTAGATGAATATCGATTCTTATTTTGCTTCCTCGTTTATTTCCCTTTCGGTTGTGCAGTGGAAGTTTGCATTATTGTCACGTGGCTGTCCAAAGTGCTTGCAGGATCCAGACATCGTATGGAGTCGATTGCAGGTATGTTTATGGTCTGTCATAATTCCAGTCTCCTTGCTTTCATATTATATGTCCGAGGGTAAATCTGAACTGCGGTTATGGATATTGCGTACGTGGGTTTTTCGTAACTCCAGTATATGAATTTTGTTTTCCTTAGAGACGGGATGCCTATGGTGCTTGGCAGCAGTATCTTGGGTTGGAGCACTCAGATAATGCTCCTAAGAGGGCTTCTGCAGTAACTCTGCCAGGTAAGTTCTGCTTTACAAGTATTACTGAAGTGCTTCTCAGTTGTTAACCTCGGCATTCTCGGTCCCTAGAACAGCCGAGAATGTCGTGGTAAAAGTCTCCTGTATTGTGAAGTTATCCCTTCTACGAAACCAACTTCTCGTGCTAACCATCCGCCTTTACGTAGGCAAGTAATCTCCCTAAGGCCGCGGCCGTGGTAAAATCTTGTTATGATGCCAAGGTTGCAAAACTCGGGGCTGAACTGGCCCGAGTTAAGGAAAGCAAGCAGAGGCAACGGCGAATCCAAAAACTGCAACGGATGAAATGGAGCCTCTTAACAAAGCTTTGCAGATAGCTTTTCCAAATTTGAAAGCTTCACTGGCAGGCTTGTTCTATAGATATAATGAAAAATTGCTTTTAAGTGTGAATAAAACTTTGATTAGAAACTTTGGATTTTGTCCTAAGGTAGCTTTGCTTGCTTGGTACTCAACGTAGATTACTAACCATTCAATTTGCTTTCATTTGTGCGTATTTCCTTATACATTTCTTCTACATATCTTTCCATCGCCATCCTTCCTCCGCTATTCTATTACCAGACCAAGTTTATTATCAAAGCGAAATGATATTGAATCAAACATAGAATTTGGAAGCTAAAGTATGAAATACTCAAATGGTTATAACTAATGTAATTAATATTGTATGATACACATAGGAAACACGATAAAGGTAAAAAACAAACACGAGAATTTCAATTCTAAAAAGCTGAACGTAACGTGATTATTACGTGTATAACACTAGATGACACGAATAACCTGTTTACTAGCTAACATGGTTAAAGTTTTACCTAATTTTCATTAAAACTAAACGTGAAAGGTCATAAATAACATAGAAGTTTTTTTTTTTTTTTCTTTTTAATAAAGCGGCATAATTTCATTGAAAATGCTCAAAGGCTAAGAAGTATAAGAGAGGGAGATCTCCTTAATCAAATCACGTATTACAAAAGGATGTTCCTCGAACTAAATACAATCATCAGCTAATCGAAAGGTTAGGCCGGCAAAGCGATGGGCAACTTTATTCTTCAAAATAATACCACCTCCACCACCAGTTTTGTGCATTTATCGTCGAAATTTTATAAAAGTTATTACATGAAAAATCCCTTAAACTTAAAATTGTGACGATAATAATATATCACCGAAGTTCAGTAGTATGCATCACCCCCCGCATCAAAGTTTGTATCCTCGTTTCTGTAATTTAAATTTAAATAAATTTAAAGATAGTTGGGATATACTTTTAAAATAGAAATAATCTTTAGTAAAAATGATAATAAATCATGAAAAAACATTTTAAGTGCTTCTCCGGAAGAAGCACATAATTGGTGCTTCTTCTAGAAAGTACATAATTGGTTCTTCTTGTAGAAAGCACTTAAAGTGCTTTTGGAATTTAGAAACAATTTTTCTAAAAATATTTTTAATCATTTTAAAAACACATCTAAAGAAGCTCTTAATGTGAACAAAAAACTTAAAGTTGGCGGATTGTATAAAAGTGGAGAAGTCCAGTGCCAATTGTGTAAAGTTTCCAATTGTTTATGAATTTATGACATCACCACTTGAACAAAGGCTTGAAAATACCAGTGTACGAGGAAAGATCACACACCGCCATTTGCCTGTGCGCACGCACGTGACCCTCTGGATACTGCCACGTCATCCATTTTGTACCCCACCCAACCCATCGCACCCCAGCTGTCGGCTTCCCACTGGTCCTCTCACACGCTCAAGATCTCACGCCTCTCACACATAAACCCACCGCACTCCATCCGTCATTTCCCAAACTAACCCCGTACTTTCACGAAATCCCCGATACGCCCCTCCCCTCCCCTCCCTGGAGTTTGCACTCAGCGAGCGGCTTGTCTCGGAGCCAGTTTCTTTCGGGAATCCTCTCAAAACGAAGCCCCGCTTCTCCCTCTCTCTCTCTCTCTCTCTTTCTCTCTCTCTCTCTACTGTTATCGTTCGTCTCTCTGATTCGTCGATCGGACGGTTCGTTGCGCGGCAGCAATGACTATGATGACTCCTGCACCATTAGATGTGAGTACCGACTCCTCCTCTACATTTCCACTCTCGGTTTAATTTCTTTCGGTTTCGGCTTCGTTCTTCGTTTCTGATCGCCTAGGGTTCTTGGCTCGATCGTCGGTATCGAATTGGTTGAGTTTTGGGAATTCACCGACTTATTGATTTGCTGCTAGGGTTATGATTCAGTAGGATAGGGTTAGGTTTTTGTCGATCAGAGCTCTGATTTTTGTGTCTTTTGTTAGCAGCAGCAGCAAGAGGACGAAGAGATGCTTGTGCCGCACTCGGATGTGGTCGAAGGCCCTCAGCCTATGGAAGGTTTAATTTTTTTTAGCAATTTTTCGACGATTTACTGTTTGAATTTCTTGAGTTTGTGTTTTTTGGTGTGGTTTCGAAGTGTTATGTGTTTCGTAATTGATCTGAAAGAATTTATTTTTGTGCGAATTTGACGTCACGGGGTGTGATTAGAGTGCAAGTGATTGCATTTTCTGTAGGTTTTTGGTTATGTTGTTTGAAATTTATGGTATTTGGTGTGTTGGTAGTAGCCCAAGTGGAGCCGGCTAGTACAGTTGATAGTCAGCCAGTGGAGGATCCTCCAACGATGAAATTCACTTGGACAATTGAGAATTTTACTAGGTTGAACACCAAGAAGCACTACTCTGACACGTTCGTTGTTGGCGGCTATAAATGGTATTTTTCACCTGTCTACCAGATGTCAAAAACTGATATTACAGCTTAAGTTTGGCTTATATTTGTATGGATTTTGACTTGCTTTTGGTTTGTTTGATCAGGCGGATATTGATATTTCCCAAGGGAAACAATGTGGATTACTTGTCAATGTATTTGGATGTGGCAGATTCTGGGACATTGCCATATGGGTGGAGTAGATATGCGCACTTCAGCTTGGCTGTAGTTAATCAGATGCATACCAAGTACTCAATAAGAAAGGGTATATTCCTTTACTAGTCTTATTTCCTTTTAGCATTCAAGTTTGTGCTTTTCGTTGGGTAGTCATGGACACCCAAGGCTTTTAATTAGAACTTTTTATCTTTGAACTGGTTGTGCTGGTTTTCAACTTCATTTTTCTGAGGTGATGTCATTTAAACGCATTCAATATCTTGTTGATCACCCCTAATCTAGATATTGTGAACTTTAAATTCCAATTTTAGTCCTCGAAATATCTGAACTATAGAGTACAGAAAATTCTTCCACCCCATTCTCTATAACATCTTGGCTGATGGCAGCAGCACCATGGACTGACCATGTGCCCATGGTCTGACCATGTGCCCATGGTGATTTTGTTTTGGGATTTTTTAAGTTCGAGAAAAAGGGAAAAGAAAAATTATGGAGTACAACGTACCAGCAGATGTTCGAAGTTATTTGAAAACCAAATAGATTGGACCTTTTAGGTATCTGGCTGTCAAAGATAGATTAACAGTTTAATTAAAATCAGGAAGAATTCACTTGGAAACTGTGTGCAATTAAGCAAGAATTCTAGGATGAAAATGCTAACTAAATCAAGGGTTTCCATTTCTTAAGAGATGAGCTTGAGGTGGTCTGTTGACCTTATTAAATTGGAGCAGTGAAGTTCAAAAATGATAACGAATTGTATTTTGTTGGTGTGGCCTATGTTGCAGAACAATGATATGAAATGCATTTAACCAGAACTGAACGAACTTTAATCATATTCTAGACCTTTTGAAGACTTTTGTCCTTAATTGTTGTATGATGGTGCAGACACACAACACCAGTTCAATGCAAGAGAAAGTGACTGGGGATTCACTTCCTTCATGCTTCTTGGTGATCTCTATGACCTGAGTAGGGGATATCTGGTGAACGATACAGTTGTGGTTGAAGCTGAGGTTGCTGTCCGTAAGGTTCTTGATTACTGGTCATATGACTCGAAAAAGGAAACTGGTTATGTTGGGCTCAAGAATCAGGGAGCAACTTGTTATATGAATTCTCTTCTCCAGACTTTGTACCATATACCGTACTTCAGAAAGGTCGTTTACGTGATCTCCTGTTTTCATTGTAAGCTAAACATGAATTTTCTTGTGAATTTTATATGAAAAGAATTACCTCAATTTTGGACTTACTGACCAGGCCGTGTATCATATGCCAACAACTGAGAATGACATGCCTTCAGGAAGCATTCCTTTGGCGCTACAAAGTTTGTTCTATAAGCTTCAATACAATGACAGCAGTGTTGCAACCAAAGAATTGACCAAGTCCTTTGGATGGGATACATATGATTCTTTTATGCAACATGATGTGCAGGAACTTAATAGAGTTCTTTGTGAAAAGCTTGAAGATAAAATGAAGGTATGCGAAGTTTTGCGTTTTGACGATGGTTGTAGTTTTTGTTTCCTTTTCATTGTGAAAATTGTTCCATGGGTCCAGGGAACTGTTGTGGAGGGTACAATACAGCAGTTGTTTGAAGGACATCACATGAATTACATTGAATGCATCAACGTGGACTACAAATCTACAAGAAAAGAATCATTTTATGGTAATATTTTCTTGCACAAATTTCAATTGTTAAGAATTGGAAATATTTTGTGAATGTCAGTGTATGCCACTGCTTTCTTCTTTTTACTTTGTAGACCTCCAGCTTGATGTGAAAGGCTGCCGGGATGTTTATGCTTCATTTGACAAGTATGTGGAAGTTGAACGTCTAGAGGGTGACAATAAATACCATGCCGAAGAACATGGTTTGCAGGTTAATTACTGAATCACTATCAGTGACTGCATTTATGCTGTAATTATAATCTGAGGCTGCTCTTAGTTGCTTCCTTTGACAAACCTCCTTTCTAAAACTGGTGGTTTACATTATTTCCTGTTGCCAGTGAAATTTTTAATGTGGTTCTCAAAACATTTGTGGGTGGCATCATGCATGTTCTATTCTAAATTCTGATTGGATGCCGTCCTTAGTTTT